CTACAGAGCAACATAACCACTGCCAGGAGGTACAATAATTTCTGGGGAGCTCAGATGTTTGCAGGAAGAAACCAGTGCTCTATTCTTTTGTGTTCTTGGATCCATTCTTTTTGACTCTGCAAGAAGTAGTCTCCATCCAAGAGATAACAGAGCAGATACAAAACCTCTGCGTGCAACTCTGCAAAAGGTAGTTCATGCTCCTGAGTGATGATATAGTTTCCCTTTTCTATGCAAGAGTTCTGTAACCCTGATAAATTCATAAGCTTTCTGGGAGAGAAGCAGAGCCCCATAAAATGTTGCATATCTGCAAGTCTCTGAACCACTGGCCAACTCCACACTGTCTCTGATTTCTTTTGGTCAGTGGGCCTTTCTTCCTCCTTCCTTGTGTGCTCCAGGTAAACATACCTTTTCTTGGGGGGACAACTCATGTTCACTTTGGGTTCCATTCCAGACTGGGTGCCTTCATTTTGTCACAGGCAAATTGCAAATGTATCTAATCCTGTTCAAAGGTTAGGCACCACGGTTTCCTTTAGGTAAGAGCTGATAGGCTGGGAGAAGCATGCCATGCAACACCCTCTCCATTTACCTTCCAAATGTGGAAGATACTGTATTGCAGCTGAAAACCTTCAAGAAACATTACCCCATGCTTCTGTCCAGCTGTGGAAGCAGTCTTTTCCCTGTCCTGCAAACCCACTTTCTTTTGGCAATACCCTCTTTAAAGATTTCAGTCTGGAAAATCATCTTGAACCTGCCATAATATGCAGGATATGCACAGTATGCATCTTCTACTTGTGCTAAAGGACCAGAATTTTTAAAGCAGAAGTTGGCAACATCCAACAGCTCTGAGTTGTGTAACTCCAGCAGGGAAGTAGGGAAAGCTCCCCTACCATCCCCAGCCCATGCCATCTGGCCTGCACTGGACTGGAGCCAGATTGTTCTGGCCCATAGTTTGAAAAAAGTTACTGGCCCTTGATTTAAGACAATTTAATTTTGCTTTCTATCATTCTCAGAATCCAGGGGAAGCGTCTTTCATTTTATATGGAACGCCAGGGAGGCTAAGGACTGCTTGAAGGCTCAGCTGTGCTCCCCAATGCCTTTTTTAAATGGTCTGTAGGACATCTCTGGTGCATGCATCATCATGAGCAGGAAGGTGTGTTTCCCTGGGGACAAACAGTAGCACATTATGTGCCACTGCTGCTTGTCCCCGGGGAACACCCATGCACTCGGGCTCTGGTGCAGGGCCTGTTGCCCCGAGTTGGGCGGCGGGGCTGGGGCCAGCACCCTTACCTGGGGTTCTGAGGGCCTCCAGGGGCTGCAGCCGCAGCAATCCAGCAGCATGAAGCCTGGCCAGCAGCCAGAGTGTGGCTACGGCCAACTAGGCTCTGGTTTCCAGCGGTACGTGCTGCCATCATGTGCATCTGACTGCTTTTTTGAGGTATGGGTTTTTTTGACACTGGGATCCCCTTTGCATTGCAAATTAGCAGTACGGGGAATGCCTGTGTGTGTGGTGTGTGTGCAGCATGCAGCACCACAGAAGGATTTGCGGTGCCGCATACCAAACATCTGCACTTATCTGGATGCTCCCTCTGTGTTGCCTCTTTGCTCTTGGAAAACAGAGAAGTGGCCATTTCATGGCTTAACATCCTTAAGAATCCATGATGTGCTGAACTGGCATGGTACAGATTTTATCTTTGCTGGATAAGGAGAACTACTCTTAACCATAAAGCCTCTGTGGTGACTCTGGGGCCCAGCATTTGAATGCACTGCCCTGTATTGGAACAATAGTCATAGTGGTAGACGGCCCTTCAACTCTGCCCCCTTATCGCGTTTTTCTGCCCTAGTCTTTAATAGAGCCTCTGGTTCATGGCTTTGCAACTGTGGTTTCTTTTCTCACTATTTTTTGCTTGACAGAAACAATCAACAAATTACTTGGGACCCTTCCTTTTTCTGACACAACAGAGCTTGTAAGCAGATTCCTCTCAGACCTTGGTCTCAAGGCAAGTTTCAGCCCTCCCTCTCCTTCCTAGAAACTTGCCTTAGCAGTTAGTACTGTGGTTCCTTCTTGTGGGGGAAACATGCTTGCTTGCTGCAAACCAAGAGCATCTTCACACTTGCTTTGGGGTGGAGGGCGGGGCACTTTAATTAGAGTGGGTTCGAGAGCCACTCTAATTAAAGCGCCCACAGCATCCTGTGTATTCAGCATCCCATGCTTTAAAATGGCAGTAGGGGTGCTTTAACTAAAACTCAATTGACAAGATTTAGTTAAAGCACCCCCACCGCCATTTTGAAATGTGGGGCTGCTGAATATGCATTACACGGAGACTGCTGGAGCATGCCGATTTGCACACTCCAGCAGACTCAATTAATCAACTCTGCTCCAACGCGTGCTAATTAGCACACCTCAGAGCAGACATCCAGCACATGTATAGGTGCCCCAAGTGCCTACAAACCATTTTTTCCACCAGGGCCACATCTTAAAAAAGAATGTGTCTACAGACTGAACTGGGGCAAGACCAGGGCTGGTCCACAATTTTTTGCGATCCCCCTGCAATAAATAGTTTTGGGGCCCCCTGATGCAAAGAAGCTGGTGTCAGTGGTGGCGGGGGGGCCTGCCAAGTGCCTGAAGAAGCCGGCAGTAGCAGTGTCAGCAGCAGGGGCGGGGGGTGTGCAGGTTTCACAGGATACAATGGGCTGGCCCTGGGCAAGACACCACTCCTGTTATTTGCTACAAAGGCATTAGCCAGAAGAAAATCCAATGGATTATTAGTCTATGTGTTATCTTGGCCTTCTTTCTTGATCTGAGTTTCAGAGGTCCTATTTTAAACCCAGTGTTCCTAGTTTTTCATACATGTGTGGCCCACAGTCCTTTCCCTCTGCAACCAGTTACAGTGTTCAGCACCGGATCTCTTGTTTCATGGTTTAATTTGCCTACTATTGCCAGACATTTCCCAATACCTATGACACACTCAGTAGCTAGTTTCCTATTCATGTTGCTTAACTGCCCAGGCCCAAATGCAATATTCAGGGTTCATCCTTGTGCCTCTAAGTTTGCCCTTTTGCCTTTGCCTTTTCACATTTCCCAGTGTGAATGAGCAGTTTTTGCATGAAACAGTTATGCATACCCTCATAACAGCTCTCCTTTCTGTGGCCATGTTGTCCATGGTTTTCACTGGTTTGTCCAAGCATTTCACTATACCGCACCCCTTAATTGTTTGCAATGTTACCAATTCCCCTTTGTTTTATGGACCAAAGTCATTGCTTTTTCTGATGGGTCTAAAAAGTTAAGAATCCCCTTTTAGAATCTATAAGGACTAGAATTCTTTCCCACACAAATCGGACATAGCCTGTACTTAAGCAGGCCCAAGCCCATTAGCCTCCATCTTCCTCACTAGCAATTGCTTCCTCTTCTGGGGCACAGCTTCAGAGAATGACTTGTGTTGTGTGGCAAATTCCACTGTCTCTCACCCCATCTCCCTTCCCTGTTCCAGATCTCCAAGTCCAACATCACCTAAGCGTCCATAAGTGATCCATTTCCTGGAAGTCTTCATGGGTATACAACAAATCAAGTCTCCACAGATCTTCCACCTGTTCAGGTGGGATTTTCTTTTGATCTCTTCTACATCTCAACCAGCTAGCTCAGGCTGATGGTTGGCCCTGAAATGCTGCATTAAGAGCTCAGTCTTCTTCCTCTAGGTAAATTTTGCAGCATTGTCAGAGCTGTCCCACTTAAGATAGCTGATAGAAACCCCCTGTCTTTTCTACTTTTCCAGTCACTTATCTGGAACATAGCATTGAACTGAGTCAAATACGCATCCCAGAGACATTCTTCCTCAAATACAATGTTGCTGTGCTGCTTTATTATTTTTGCAGAAGTGCCATTCATAAGACCTTGCTTAACAAGTATGCAGACAATTAAACCTGCATAACGACTCACTGCCTGATATTACTAAGTCAAGTGAATAAACCTAAAGATTTGATACCTCCATGAATTTATATGGTTGTGAAAGGAGCTCACGGGTCATCTACTCCAACCCCCTGTACAGAGGTAGGATGCACTGTTTCTTAACAACCCTGGAGAGATGTCCATCCAGGCAATTCCACAACTGCCCTCAGCAGCTTGTTGTATTGTCTCAAGTTTTTTCCCCTCAAATTTGTTCTAAACCTGTTTTGCTACAGTTTAAACCTTTTGCCATATGCCCTGCCCTCTACAACATGGATGGGAAAGAATTACAATGTCACAGTACTAACAATGATCCCAGCCTCAGATTAATGTGGCCAGTGCTATGGGTCTTCACACTTTGTATTAAATCTGATCATCAACTAGTTTGGGATGAAATTTCCTTTCAGTGAGGTGTGTTTAAGGTTTGTTTGAGGTGCTTCTGTTGGATGAGATGTTCCAAATTAGACAGACTAGCTTGACAGGAGCTGGGATAGAAGATTAGATTGGTCAATAATTTCATAGGGCAAGAGATGAGATGCAAAATCAGACGCATGAGTGCAGTCACCTGCTAAAGCAGGGAGCTCAATGGTACAGAAACTGAACAATTGATTGGATGTGGTATGGCCAGGAATAGGTTACTGAACTATGAAGAGCAGTAATCTTTGCTAGAATGAAAGGAAATGAGAGATAAGATTCACTTTGGCCTATGATATCTTATTGCATTATCACACTCATATCAGGTCATCCTTTTTGCAACTGTCATTTTCTAAACCTTTTTCAAATGCAAATCATGCTAGTCCTTCTGTTAGGGGTGAGAAAAACAATAGCTAAGAGGAAGGAAAGAGTTCCTAAAATAAACTTCTAGACAGGGTTGGGTTTGTTTTAGTGACTTCAGAGCCACAGTTTAATAAGCTTCATAGTCCTGGATCCTGGCAAGATGAGGAGTCTGCTCCATCAGGGTATGTACAGGACAATCACAACCTTCTCTCGGTCTGACCTGCAGCCTCTCTGACCATTCTTTCCTCTCCCTTTGTCATTCCTTTTCCAAGCCTTTGAAGCCAGATCTCTCTCTCCCTCTCTTTCCCTCCACCCCCCACCCCTTATAGTGCTTTAACAAATATTGGGTGGGACAAGACCCTTTCATAATGAATTCCTCCAACTCTCTGTATTGGAGCGGGTTTGATTTCAGGATCTGTAAAACATTTCTGCATCTACTTCACGGTATCTATCGCATGGATTGAGGAGGTAGCACAGTCTAGCTGCTCAGGCAGTGTTGTTAACCAGCCTCCGCCTGTGAAAATAAGGAAAGTTACTGCAGAGCAGCAGGAACCTAGGAAGTTTCCATCCACCATCAGGGACCTAATAGTACCCTAAGGTACAGCAAGACATAGTCTGTTCTTTATGGTGGGAGGAAGAGGTGTTCTAGACTCAGCAGCCCTATGGTGAGTGGCTGACAGTTAATTGTGCTTCTGATGCCTAGACCTGCAATCCATCACAACTGGATCAGAAGTCAGCTCCACTCCCAGCTTATCACTGAAGGTCCAAGGCACCTTCAATATGTGGTTCCATCATAAGTCCCATGCCGATTTTCTCCCAGGGACTTCCACAGTGAATGCTTCCAAGAGAAAGGCTCTGCTTTGCCCCAACTCCCAAGCCCAGCACACACGGGTATGGATCTGAGAGCATATGCCCCCATACCTATTTCAAATGCTGCTGCTAAAGACCACCCTCCCAGTTACTGTCTCTTCTGATTTCATCCCCACTTTCTCTCTTCTTGCTCTGTCTTTCCCACTGTATTGGATATAGATGACTAAGCTGTCCTTTTAAGGCCCCCTACCCTAGCCCTGCCATGTCCGTATTAGCTATTAGTCCAGATCTTCCTTGTATGCCTTCCTGCTATCAGCCACGCTGCCATCCACGCTTAGGAGGAACTTCTCACTGAAACTCCTGAATCCCTCACAATATCTTTCTTCATGTTTGCTGCCATTATGGAGCTTAAAGCACTTCCAGCAATGGCTAGGCAGCTGGAATAGACTAGCTTGTCACGGTCATTTCACCACTGACTTTGGCCTCCTTTCACTTAAATGGAACATCCTTCTTTTGCATGTTACCACATGAGTTGAGTGTGAGGTCTTTAAGACAGAGACTTCGGAGGGATTGGAGGGGGTGGGGAGTATCAGGGGAGAGGATTTATTATTTAACATGCCCAGTCTCTTTGTGCTAATGGAATAGAAATTAATAACGAGAAAGTCAGCTCTTGTCTCCTTCCTGTTCACACTTCACTAGCAGTGGCAAATCTTCTACAGGCTTAGCTGAAACCACACCAACCCCTCCTCTTCTGTCGCCTGAGCAACCTCTGTGTTTCAGTGATACCCTCAGTGCCACTGGTGCACCCCAATTGTAGTTTGCCTACCTACAGCCTGTGGATCATATCTGGCTCATGCAACCATTGGATCATCCCACAGACGTGGGACTTTGGTGGCATTTGATGATGAGTGGCTTTGCTGGCAACTACTTTCCCTGTGACTGGTTTCCAAGCTGTATTTTGTGGACCCCTGGGGTTCCATGATAGGTCTTCAGGGGTGCTGCAAGGATATTCGGGTAATAGTAGGGCAGGCCAGGAGGCAGTGCACGGGCATTGCTGGGCCAGGTTGGCAGACTGCATCAGACTTTAGGATAGGGGGAGGGGGTTCTATACTAGAAGAAGTGATATGAAATGGTTCCACAACATTAGGAAGTTTGAAAACCATTGCCTTATGCCATGGTGGGAAGAAGCGGTGACAGCAGCAGCTGGGTTCTAGTGCCTGCCCAGCCGCCACTGACCCAAGCTGGGTCATTCCAGCCCACAGCCTGGAAAGCCCAACCACTGGTCTACCCATCTGGGCTCTTATGAAGACTCACACTAACACACCAAATCCACCTCTAACCTATCCTGACTCCACTAGTTGAGCAGGAGTAAAAAGCAGTGATGAGTGAGTTCAGTCACTTGCACAAACAGAGTTGACCTTAAACACAGCCCTAGGGCAGAGCTGTTGAAAACAAAGTTAAACCTTTTGCACTGTCACTTCTCAGGAACTAACCACGCTTTCATTTTTTGTATGTTTCAGTTTCTTCAGCTAGAGATAAGAACCAACTCTCTCTCTCTCTCTCTTATCTGAACTTCTTTGAGATCTAAAGATAAGGAAAACCAGACACTATTGTTATTTCATATTTTAGTTTCTGTCCTTCTCTAAATAGCTCTTCTGGCTGACCTCTTGTTTTCCATCTGCTTCTCTCTATTCATCTGTTGTTGTCCTTGTTGGGAATCCTGCAGTGTAATGTGGACTCTGAGAGACTCTTGGTGAGCATCTGCACTAGCTAGGAAAATAGGGGAAAAGAAACACTCATTCAAAACTTTGCTAAAAACATCCATTCCTGGATACTAGATTGCTGAGTCATCCATTCTATTTGCAATGCTACTGAAATAGTTGCAAACTAGCTGATCTTGGCATGATAAAATTGCTTTCAAAGCATAAACCTGATCTCACAAGGAAAGAGAAGTTTAAAAGATATTAAAGGAAAGAGGAATTAAGATTATGACTTAAGTAGCAGAGAAGTGGAGAGAAAGGGGAATGGAACTAAAACTAGGTTGAGCAGTGGTGTAAATAAATGAGAGCGTCCAGCAGGGATACAGCTGATATTAAAGTTGATCAAGGAGACAGGAGAACTTGTGTACATGAAACTGCTGGAACATTAACAGTTATATCTTCCATTGGATGAACCAACTGGAAATCAATGAACTGGTTGCAGCACTGGGGCCACTGGGCTTGACTGGTTACTCAAGGTAGTAAGGCCAGACACATCTGTATGCATGGACACAAAATCTGATACCTCTTCCTGTCAACCTGCCTATGGGTGTTGGGGGCTTGGGACATGCAATGGGCAGTAGGGGCATGAATGGCTTAGCTAATTAGTTTTCTATTTCTTTGCCACCTGTAGTGAAAAGTATGTCACCACTTCTGGGAAATAACAGTTCATATGAGCACGTGGAAAATGTCGGACTGTATAATTCACCAGAATCCATTGTATCCCTTGTTATCTTCATCCTTGTCTTCATACTGGGTCTGCCAGGCAATGGCTTGGTCATCTGGGTTGCAGGCAGGAAAATGAAGCGGACTGTAAACAGTGTTTGGTTCTTGAACCTTGCCGTGGCTGACTTCCTGTGCTGCCTTTCTCTGCCTTTCCACATCACTCATCTGATCCTCCATGACGACTGGCCATATGGCTCATTCCTTTGCAAGGTAATCCCGTCAGCCATTATCTTCAACATGTTTGCCAGTGTTTTCCTTCTTACTGCCATCAGCATTGACCGCTACCTCTTGGTAATGAAGCCAGTCTGGTGTCAAAACCATCGCACAGTCAGGTTTGCGTGGGTGACATGCGCTATCATCTGGATCCTGGCTTTTGTTATGTGCTCTCCAGTCTTCCTGTACCGAGAGACCTCTGCAGATAAATCTGGCAAAACAAGGTGTGACTACAACTATGGAGATGAAGAATTTTACGAGTACACGTATAATGGCAATGATTCTGACTTTCTTTGGGACAAGGATGTAGGGGACTACCCAACTGTGGAGCCAACTGGAACCCATGATGACACCTTCTTAACTTATCAGCTTCCTGATGAACACCTGGATTTCCAAATACCCACCCGTCCCAGTGCTTCTACCACCATTAGCCCACCCTCATTCAGTCTTCCCCATTCGGTGGTACCAAATCACCTTGATGCTACAGCTGGCACAAATTCATCTACAGTGTCTTTTGCTCACCCTGATTTCAAGTCCTCTGAGCCTCCTGACAGCCCTCCTGATGTTGACCTATTCACAATGACCAATGTCATCATCCCTTTAGAGTTATCTGACCTTCCTGGTGGTCCTTCTGACAGGTTCAATGATGGAATGTATTCGCTGGAGAATACAATGGCAGATTACAGTGATTACGTCCCCCAAAGCAGCTTGTCAGTCATCACTTTGACTATCACTAGGACTGTCTTTGGCTTCCTTCTCCCTTTTGGCATAATGGCAGCTTGCTATGGCCTTATTGCCTTCAAGATGCACGCATCGCAATTTAAGAAGCCCCGGGGTAAGACCTTGCAAGTGATTGTGGCGGTGGTGGCTGCACTCTTTGTCTGTTGGGCTCCGTACCACATAGTTGGCATATTGCTCCTGACCGTGAAGCCTTACACAACATTATGGAATATGCTCCCACTCTGGGACCACCTCTCAATTGCCTTAGCTTATGTCAACAGTTGCGTCAATCCGGTGCTCTATGCATTTGTGGGGCGGGACTTCAGGGAGAAGGCTCGACTATCACTGAAGGTGATCTTGGAGCGTGCCTTGAGTGAGGAAGTTACACACACAAGTGCCTATTCCCGTGACATGGCCAAGACCTCAACAGACAAGGATATCAGCAGTGTCCTATGAAATGGGTCTTTTCACTGGCATTGGAAAGGCAGAGAGCCAGCCAAAGCCCCCCCCCCCCCGGACTTTCTATTGAAGGACTACAGAGCCATAACAAGCTTAACTATAATCTACTGGGGACTAGGACACTTCAGAGCAGGCTAGTCTCCTCCTTTGACACCTTCCTACTGAGAAAAGGGAGGTGGGGGATACTGGGAAAGCGACCTAAGGGGTAAGGAAGGAGGGAGGCAGGGATAGAGAGACCTTTACCTCACCATTTAAGGAGAGAAGGGCATATGTGGAAGGAGACATGGTGGGGTCGTGCAGCTTATCCTCTGCATTGCTGATTGAGAATGCCGCTGAAGACCATGGATCTATTAATCTCCAGTCTGTCTCCTATACCTGCTACATTACAGATGAGATTGCATTGATACATCTCCTTATTATGTTACCCGAACCTCCCCCACCCTTCCTTAGGACCCCTGAACCTTCCCTGTAGCAGAAGCTGATGGAGGGGGAGGGGAGGACCAGCTTTCCTCACAAGTGTTGTACCCCAAACATGCCCACTGAGCAATGAAAGCTGACTTTAATGCCAGTATTCCTGGGGTCACTGTGTATTGGTTTACTGAAAGTTCCTGTCCTACAAGAAAGTCCCCAAAGGGCCAGGTCCCCTTATTGCAGGCAGGAGCTCATTAGATCTAGGACCCACCTTTTGGGAGAATGGAGTGAGATGCATCAACAAGGCAAAGGGAACTGAAGTATGTCACACTACTCATAGAGATGTGCTTATTCTGTCTGGAGTTGCTTGGATGCCCAAACCTAATCAGAGCAGGGAGGGACAACTTTCCAAGAGGAAAATCTGAATGGGTGAGTCAGGTAAGACTAAAACTGTGCTGAACTCAAGTTGTCTTGGAAAGTATTGCCCAACTTCCACCTGTACATTACCATTAGACTCAGATGGGCATGTGAGATACAGAGGAAGGCATGCAGCCATGTAGAGTGCTAGAACTTATCTGCACCCACCTAATCCTGCTAGTCCTCTCAATGCAAAAAGCTAAATCAAAACTGTGGTTTGGCCCTGATCTAGGGCTTCACAGATCTTAAGAGCATTCTGAGTCTGAATTTGGTTCAAAGAGGGAAGTGCAAGATGCACAGGGAAAAGCCACAAACAAGGGAGCACATGGATAGCTGCTCCCCCCCACCCTTTTGTTGGCTGGCAGTGCAATGTGTATAGCTAGCAACAGCAAAGCCCAACATGGGTGGGATACAACTGCCACAGAGTTTTCCCTGCACGGCAGTTCCTGGGCCCTTGGGATTTCAGAGAGCTGTGATCCAGGAAAGAGTTCTATGTCTGTCTTGCACAGGGTAATTGATACCACTGAAGTCATGGTATCAAGATGGCCCCGGTCAGAGGACACCATTAGGATAATTTGTGCGGGCACCCCTCATACCAGCAAGAGAAGCCCATTACACTCCATAGCGATGCAAGAGGCATCAGACAGGCTGCCAGATCAATATCTACCTAACCTGCACTGGGGTTGATACTGCTTTGTCACCTCTCACAAGCTAAGCTCAGGAGCTACGTGTCTTAGGCTCAGGCCACAGGCAGAAAAGGGGTGTTGTCAACCTCCAGGCTGTGTACTCCACATCCATCAGCACTGCTGGTACCAAGGCCTTCGTGCCCACATGAAAAGTGTTTCTGTTGAGTTCAGTGTCTGCAAGACAGATGTTTCCTGCATCCTCTTGGAAAGCAGGTGCAGCGGGGGAAGTTCCTCTGCACAGCCTGCTTGCTGCGTCTGGAGCTCAGAAGTTTCCGCTGGTAGAGAGCAGAATGAGCCCCTCTTTGCCGTTCCAGGAAATGGTGCAAGACACATCTCTTCCGAGTCAGTCCTCCACAAAGGGGCCAATGATAGACAATCCCAGTATCTGAAGACAGGACATGGAATTTCTGTTCTCTCAGACAGAATTTATGGTATCGTGTGTGTGTGTGTGTGCGCGTGTGCGCGCACTGTTGTCTACAAACATATTCAATCTTTCTATAGCATCCTTCACCACACCTACACAAAGAATCTGACCTGGCTTCTCTGCAGGGCATACTTTTATTTTTAGAGAGAATTGTAGGGAGAAAGGGAAAACTTAATTTTCTGCACAGCAGAAAGGCCAGAAGATCTGATACCAGGGAGATGAGCACACAGTAAGCACACAAACTGTTTCCTACATATTTACCCATTATCTTTGGGGTAGTTTTCACACAGCCTTCCTCCTGTTGGTCATACATACTACTTTTAAGAAGAAAGAGCTGAGAGCCTCCCTGGCCTATGAGATGCCACACTTTTGATAGTGGAGCACTTAAACACTCTGCCACAACCTCCCCTTACCCTCCCCAACAACTTAAGGAAGTCTCAATTTTGCATGAGACCTTACCACAGGCAGTAAAAGTAGAAAAGTCCCACCCGTGTCTTTATAATAAAAAGTCAACCACTCCTGTGTTGAACCCAAGCAGCCGCCACTGAAAAAATAAATTTGATGCTGGCTCCAAGAGGGTTAAACCATAAACATTCACTTTTTGTTTTTATTAAGAAAGCATGCACAAAAATAAACTCGTGAGACCACGCCCCCCTCTTCCCTACCCTTGACACAAAGCATCGTAGGCTGCACGGCCATGGAAGGACGCGACGAGCGAAGAGCTCCTCCCCACAGCAGGCCAATCTCCGCTGAATGCACCCCTTTGCTCCTGCGCAGTGCAGAGTTCCAGTGCCCTGCCTTTAACTCCATGTGTCCGAGCCAATGCCATCCCGCTCGCTGACGATGCACATTTATTTCAGAGGGTGTTGGTGGGGGGGTGAGGCTAATTTGCACACTGACCGGCATGTATTTACATATGCAAACAAGGCGCAACTGAATACGCAAAACAAGGCAAAATGAATATGCAAATGAGGAGTACTTGAATACGCAAAGGAGCCATCTTGGCTTGTTTTCGTCTTCCAGATGGTGTTTCCAGGGTTCTCCAAAAAGCCAAGTGACCACAAATCATTTCAATGGGTCCAACTCTTGGTAACTTCCCCCTGCAAAGCACTGATTGGCACCTGAAGGGAGGTCCTCTCTGCTGCTACACTCCACAGAAACCAAATCAATCCATGCTTCCTGATCATACCATTCGTATCCTGGGGCAATGGAGAGAACCACTGACTAACTCCGTGCTGAAGAAGTCGGCTCTGAGATTCCTCACTCCTCTTGGGAAACACGCAATGACGCCCCCTTCCCACCTCCCACTTAAAAAAACAAACAAAAAAACCCCCGCAAAAAATGCCGCCCCCCTCCAATGAGACTCTATCTTCCTGACAAAGATCCAATTGGTTTATCCCTACAGCAAATTAAAAAGCAATGCTAAACTAGCCCCCCACCCTTGGCATGTTGAGCCCCATGATGCTTTGCTTTCACCTTGGTTCCTCCTCACAGACAAATGGGGGCAAGTGGCAGACGTGACAAAATATAGAGGAAACAAGAGGTTTGACAGAACAGAGCCACGCTAGAAACGGGAGCAGAGGACACAGTGCAGGGGAAGGGGCCTCTCCACGCTCACTCTAGCTTTGGCAACTTTTCCCCTTCCAGCTGTCAGGGCGTCTGGCATTCAGCTTGTGCTCTCTCACATCCTCCCCGCAGATGAACCACAACGTGTCAGACATATACTCCCCCCCCCGTTATCGTCCTCCCTTGGGCTGTGCAGTTTAACTACCTGCCCCACACCAACTGCCTCCCTGACCCATCAACAGAGGTCTCAGCACAAAGTCCCCAAACCTCCCTCATTTCTGTGCTGTGGCTTCCTTTTTCCATCTTT